TATCTCCACCAGCTGATGAGTTTTCCGAACTTAACTCACCAGAAGATAGCCTAATCGGTTAGGTCAAAAGACCAATCAACTTATACAAAAATTAATTAATTAAAACTTTTAAAATTTAAATTATATTAAATTAAAACATGAACAATACTACAATATTAAATGGAAGTATAAGATTGACTTTATATGAGTAAAACAATTCATTTTTTCTTTCTTCTTCCGATGTGGGATTATCAAATAAATCATAGACTAATTAGCTAGCTAATGGAGACTTTTTTTAATTGTTTAAGATTAAGAAAATTAATATAAAATATTGAAGCTCTCACAATCTTCTTCACTAAAAATTTCATTTTCTTAATATAATATATAGATATTTTGATTTTTTTTTTTATTGATTTTTATGTCTTCTTTTTTTTTTTAATAGCTTTTTTGATTTCTCTTACATAGACGAATCTAAAAAGTTAACCAGAAAAAACAAGGCAACAGCAAGATAAATTTTTCCGAGTTAGAGTAGTCTCTTTATTTTATTTTATTAATTAGGTAGTTTTTGTTGCCCAACAGACTTTCCTGTGCAACACCATAGCCATCTCGTAGGGACCCTGAGGATCGAGGCAGTTCCCCCAGGGTAGGTGCTTTCTTTGCGAGTATGTCTGTTGACGGCGCTGTGTCCTATCTGCTCAAGGAAAGCTGTCCAACTCAATGTGTAACGCATCAGCGGCATTTGCTACATAATTTGCATCCTATAAGGCACGGATACAGATATAAGTACTGGTATTGGTACGATAAGAGTACGTCGATACGGTAAAATCCAAAAAAAAATAGAGTACGGATAAAAAAATATTTATTTTTAATTTAGAGTAATACAAAAATTAATTAAATGATTTAATTTGTTGAGATCTAACCTATAATTTCATTTAGCGCCAAAAGTAAATGTATAAATCAAAATTAAATATCAATATATTAAATAACTTACAAACCATAGTTTAATTTTAAAATCATGTCAAACATTAAAAAAAAAAAAAAAAAAGTCTAGTGAAAAGAGTTTTATATTTATAATAGAAAAAAATATTGTTTTAACTAATATAGTAGGTACGTCTGGGTATGCCAAGAATTTAGAAGAAAAAATTTAGATACGTGTTTTGTGTATCCGATACGTATACAGAAGTACTATACGCCAGTAAATACCCAAATTTCAAAAATTTATAGACGTTGGAGGTGTGCGTGCTAATTCGCTCGCTACTGTACGATAGGGTAAGAGATTTGGTGCTCTAAGTTCATAAGAGCATCTCCAACGGTGAACCAAAATTTTCACCAAATTTGAGTAAAAAAAAAGCCAATTTTCTCAATCTGATATGACTTGCTCCAACCGTGCATCAAAAGGGAAGGGTCGACCGGTAAGGCTGAATTTTTTTTTTTAAAACCTGTTTGAACCTTTTTGACCGGTTTGAACCTACCTATTTGAAAGGGAACCGGTTGACCGGTGGGTCAACTGGCCGGACATCCGATTGGTTGATCGGTTGACCTACGCAAACGGTCAAGCACAGTGAAATACTGATATACAGAGTTTGTCCTCAATTTGATGAAATGTTTGTTCCATTCTCATTTTGATATCAAATTGGTGAAACCATTGGAGCTTAAAAAAGTCACTTTTTCATCAAATTTCAAATCTGATGCATGGTTTGATGCACCGTTGGAGATGGTCTAAACGCCGTTCATTTGGTTAATTACCAACTTTGAGTTGCCTCAAACTTCCAGTTGAAAGTACTTTGATGCCACGAGCTAGTTCCATTCCCATTTAAAAAGAAAAAAAAAAAAATAAAATAAAAAAAAAACTCCTAAAGACAAAAACAGTTACAAAAAATTAACTGTTTTTGATTTTTTTAAAATCCCTTTGACTTTTTTTTTATTATTTTTATTATCAATATTTTCAAAATTTTTGATCTTTTCTAATTTCTCTAGTTGAGTAGAATAACATTTAAATTTTTCGGGAAAAAAAATCATTACAAATGAAAAAATGTCAACCAAAAGTTATTAAAAAAGCCAATTACAAACACCTGTAAATTGGTTAAAACTCAATAGACACAAATAGATAGAGAATAAAAATTGAAGTAAAAAAAAAACTGTCAAGGATTAATCATTAAGAAATTAAATAAAAAGTAGTGCAAGTTGAGAAACATAGATGTTGTGTACTTCTCCTAAATCATTAAAAGTATTGACACAAGCAAAGATTACTATAATGTGAAGAAAAACGTGAATAGCTGAACTTATATGTGAATTTGACTGTTGCACAATAGCTCTCTGTTTTGATAAGGTTTTTGTTGGTGATACCATTACTACATGTATATCGTTGTTGGAGCATTTTGCTCAATTCTCACAATTAAAACTACAGCCCATGGCCTCAATTGGCAAATAAGAATATGATTTTAAGCCAAAAAACATAGAATTCACCCATAAAAGGAGAATACATATATATATGCAAAACACAGTCTATAACATATTCTGGACAAACCATTTATATAAGGAAATACTTACTTGAAAATATTTTACGAAAGGCACAAAATCATCAAACCCCATCAACATATATGCTAGAACTATAGAATTATTCAAACTTATTTCTTTCCAACAACTCAAGAAAATCCATAACATGATCTCAATGCTGCTTTCCTCTGAGGGTCTTCTCTCCAGCTGAATATAAGACCCTTTAATGACAGCAAAGCATATAACATGCTTATTAGTGGATGTTAGCATGGTTTCTCTGAAATAATGCAACAAATGACTTCTGAAAAAATATTTGAGAAATGTATTTGCATTATTTGAACTATATAACAACAAACCTGCATTTGTTTCAATGTTTTTAAGCATGTAACAAAGAATTTTGGCGCTTTCGGTAAAGAAATTTTGTGGAATTTAATCTGTACTTTACCATATGATCTTGAATGTAAGACATGTTTTGATGATAATCTGGAAATATCACTACCTCCACTTCAAGATCTGAATGGTTATTTTTCAAGTCGTGATGATGTTCCAAAAATCATTAACATGAATAGCATTGTTATGTTAATGACGGTAAGGAATTGAAAAAAAAATTCGAAAGATTCATGCAAGATAAATCATGGGTTATGAAGATGTTGATTTGATGCACACATCGCAATCATGACAGGATACAGAGGTAATATTCATACATGATGAGAGAGAGAGAGAGAGAGAGAGAGAGAGAGAGAGAGAGACAAACCAATTGGGTGATAAATTCATCCTCCAAATTTGCCTTTGTTGAACTTTCTCCTTAGCTGAGCGAACTTGATTGCTATGTTTATTGATATCCAATTGTAGTTGTTTTCGATGAACTGGAAGTATGCATACCTCCAAGACTTCTTGAAATTCAAAGTGCCATAGACCCCCAAGAACCCAAACAAGAAACTAGGTCCAATGCCAGTGTAGAACCACAAAAAATCAGTTTCATCTGCAACTTTACTCTCATGTTTGTGATCACCATCATCGATGTAGCTGTTTAGTGGTGCACCACAAAGGCCATCGTTGCCTATATAAATGGAAGAATCGTCAAGAGTTTGAAGTTGATTTCCCGTTGGTATTCGTCCCGATAAACTATTGAATGACATGTTCAAATGACGCAGGTAGCTTAAACTAGACAGACTTAGAGGAATGGGGCCAAAAAGTTTGTTTCGAGACAAATCAAGGGATTCCAATTTTCTCAATTGGCCAATATTATTAGGGATCCTTCCTTTCAGATGATTTCCAGATAAATTCAAGCTTAGCAACCCAAAAAGATCCATTAACTCTTCTGGAATCTCTCCAACAATTCCATTGTTCGAAAGGTCCATGGAGACGAGAAATTTGAGTGTCTTGGTGTATTCCAGTTCTCTTCCTTTCATTGAATCCAAAATGTTCTCTTCATAGTTTCCTCTAATATTATAATAGCCAGATGGATCGAAAATGTACCCACGATCTAGTGTAATCATGGCAGTGAAGTTGCCAAAACAACGAGGGATATTTCCCGTTATGTTATTTTGTGCCAAGTTCAACAATTGCAAATTTTGGAGATGACAGAGTTGTGGAGGAATATCACCATAGAAATTATTTGATTAAAGATTGAGAAATTTAAGATTAGTTAGGTTATATCCAATCCATGGAGGGATATTATCAGTGAACACATTTTCACCTAGATCAAAGGTGAAAAGATGTGTCAAATTCTGTAAGGACAAAGGAAGCTTCCGAAAAAACTTATTGTTACACAAGTGCAAGGAATTGAGAGATTGTAGGGAACCCAAAGAACTTGGAATTTCACCCTATAGACTATTATTCGTCAAATCTAGCACCGACAACTGATTCAACTGCCCCAAGCAAGGAGGAATTTTTCCTGATAATTGATTGTTTGAGAAATCAATAAGAGTTATATTCCTTGCCTTGCACAAAGACACTAGAATGACACCAGTCAAATGGTTATTTGAGAGAACAAGAAATGTGAGGCTCATCGTCACATTATCATCACTCACAGTAATAGGTCCTGAAAGCAAGTTGTTGAAGAGATCTAAGAAATAAACATCTGAAGGAAGCGGTGTTAGTGGGCCCTCAAATTTGTTAGAACTCAATAGTAACCATTTATCATGAGCACTATATCTATATTTATATTTTTGAAATATTGGCACCTTTCCTTTGATTTGGTTGTTGGAAAGATTCAAGTAGATAATGCCACAATAAATACTCTCAAACCAATCAGGGATGACAATTGAGATGCTTGCATTAGACATGTCTAACTCTGTAACATTTTTTTGTGTTTTGAGCCATTGAGGAAATTGGGGTCCTACTTTGACCGATGATAATTGTATGACTAGGAGTTGAAAGGGAGGAACCCATTGGGAGGTCACATTCAGAACTAATGAATTTGAATGCAAATACAATTTATTTAAACTCTTGAGTTTGGCAAAGTGAAGTTCAAATACGGTGCCAACAAATGCATTTTTTGACAAATCTAGATATTCTAGTTTTTAAAGTTGTCCAAGACTTATTGGAATGATCCCATTCAATTGATTATCTCCAGTATCTAACACTCTCAAATATGATAATGTTCCGAGTGATGATGGCAGCGGACCATAAAATGAATTCCTTCCAATAATAAGCCTCTCCAGATTCTTAAACTCTCCCAAATGGTTTGGCAGACCACCACTCAACTTATTTGAAGAAAGAGACAAATCTTCCAAACTATTATGGATGCAACCAAATGGACTTCCAACAGAAGTTGAAAGCTTCCCAGTGAATTTGTTAATGGACAAATCCAATACACACAAGTTGCAGAGGTTCCTCATGGAGTTTGGTATTTCACCTTCAAACTTATTTGAAAAGAGGTCAAGCTCTATAAGTTGTGTCATATTTCCCATCTCACTTGGAATTGGCCCTTGAAGATAATTTGTATTCAACCTGAGGATGGAAAGAGAAGCAAGATTCCCAAGGCAATGGGGGATTGCACCTCTATGGGTAGTAGAACTAAGATCTATCTGGAAAAGACTGCTCAGGTTACACAAAGAATACAACAATGAATCATTGAAGTTGTTAATTGAAAGGTCAAGGACTATGAGAGAGGTCAACCTTCCAAGTGTATTAGGAATTGGACCACTTAAATAATTATTGCTAAGGTTGAGATACTGTAACCTTGAAAGATTTCCTAGATGATGAGGAATCGTTGCACCGAAAATTGACCCAGGGAGGTCAAGGTATCTCAAGCTTTTCAAAGATCCTAACGAATTGGAAATTTCAATATTGTTCATGCTCAAGTCTACATAATGCGAATGATTCAAATCGAGTAAGGAAGGACTTATCTGACCACCCAATTTGTTCATTCCGAAATTTGGATCATAGTTGTCGGCAGTGAGGAGTCCAAAAGGCATAGGAATTGGATTACGCAAATCAAGCTTCACAACATGGCCTGTTTTGTTGCTACAACCCACTCCCTTCCACGTGCAACAGTCCTTTCCAACCCACGAGGATAAACAGTTTGCTTCATCTATGAGATTTGCTTTGAATTTCATGAGAGTTTCTCGCTCACTCGCTATGCAACTTATAGCGATCCCGGGTTTACCCTTGTTGTACAGTGATCCGGACATGTGTCCGTGGATGATAGTAGTTGATTATTTTCTTGTTTACATCCTTTTTACTTCGTATTTGAGTTATGGGATGTGTTGGGCAGGTTTGTTACAGGTTGATCGAGTTTAGAAACCAAAACTAGTTGCCCAGGTTTTGGCCTGTCCGCTCGAGCGGGGGTTTTGGCGCTCGAGCGGGAAATTCACCCATCCAGTATTTCCCGTGCAGTGTTGGACGCTCGAGCGTGGAGTTGGCCGCTCGAGCAGGGTTGTGTGAGTGACGCTCGAGCGGAGACCTGGTTCTGTAAAAGTTCTGGGAGTGTGTATCCTCCGCTCGAGCGGGATTGTTGGCGCTCGAGCGGGAGTCTGTGAGTGACGCTCGGGCGGGGTGTTTTACGCTCGAGCGTGGCGACTGGGTTTAAGTCCCGTGGTTTGACTCTTCAAATCACTTTTTCACTTTCTCTTCTCTCTCATACTTCTCCAAAAACACCATTGTTGAGCCTCTCACTCTAGAACTCTACCTTCTCTCTAGGTTTTGATCTAGTAGGAGTGATTTGCTCATCTTTGGCCTTTACAAAAAAGTTGTTGATCGTCGAGGGCTTCATTTTAATTTGAAATTTTCGGGATTTGGAGCACGTTGGGGTTTTGTCATCTTCTCCCTTGGGGCTCCGAATTTGAGGTAGGGATATCCTACTCCTCTCTATGGATTTTGTCTTTAAATTTTAGTATTTTGAGATGTTGGGGTTGGTTTGGAAAATTTGTGAAAGTTTGGGGCTTTTGTGTTATTTTACAAAGGTTGGTAATTAACAAAAATATAAGATTTTATTATTATTTTATCTATTAAAAATAAGATAAATATACTTCATAAAAAATAGTGGGATTAGCAATCACACTAAAATCTTATTTGATTAACATGATTAATAACCTTATAAATTCATGTAGAAATAATTATTGAATTATTAGTGAAATAACAATTTATTATGTATTCAATTTATTTTATTTTTTTTCCTATTTAAAATTATGATACCCAACCTTTTCAATATTAAAATTTTATGAATTATGTCGGATTGAGTGGTGCTTTAAGAAATTGGTAAAACTTTTTACCATTTTTTAATCCATTTTACCTTTTTGTAGGTAAAAATTGTGAGAGATGATGTGACCAAAAATGGATAAAAAGCTAAAAATTGACTTTTTTTTTACTTCCCAAAAGACCCCTGTTTATTTACCGGATAGGATTGGGAGAAGATAGGGGATGAACTCCGTAGATACAGCTCATATGCTTGTCTAGAGAAGTGAAGATAGAGCTTATATGCTTATCTTTGTGAAGTGTGGATATAGCTCATATGCTTATCTGTGAATATGGGATATTGTTGTTATACATATCTGTTGCGAATGTGGATATAGCTCATATGCTTATCTGTGAATGTGGGATATTGTTGTTATACATATCAGTTACGAATGTGGATATAGCTTATATGCTTATCTGTGAATGTGAGATATAGTTTTTATACATATCTGTTGAGAACGTGGATAGTGCTTACATGCTTATCTGTTGAAAAAGGGGAAAATGAAAAGTAACTTGGACTCATAAGTCGTATGACATAAATATGTGATTTATGTGAATGTATCAGTGTTGGCCATCTATCAATTGCTAATCTTTTAGTCATTGTTCATGGTTGGTTTAGTGTATTTCTACTGGGCTGTGGCTCACCCTATATGGGAATATCATTTTCAGGTACAGGTAGCATGCCACCTCTAAGGACATAGCTTGGGAGGCTAGAGGCGGACATACTTTTGTCGTTATACTTTTTGATGTATTACATGTAAATGCAAGCCAAGGGCTTAATGTGTAATGAGTTAGTACTCTTTTGTTGTAACCAAGTGTTAACTTGGAAAGCTGTAAGCCCATAGGGCATTTGCCTTGGTTGTTAACATGTAATACTTATGTAATGGAATTCTGAACATATGGAAGAATGTGGAACTTTTACATATCAACGCATGTCTTATTTGATGGGTTTAATGTTATTTTTTGAGGGCGTTACACAACTCACATTTGAATTTGTACTACTACAAATGAACTCAAGTCTTTCAATGAAAAAAAGAGCAAATAACATCACAATAGCACTAGAGGTTGTGCTCATAGCTTCTGAGTGTGGAATGTAATTTTGATGCCAGTGTTGAAAGATTAGAGTTTTATAAACGGTATAAGAAGACTTGATGATTTTGAAAAGACTCAAGCCAAGAGCACCTAGTTATAATTATTATTATAATATAATGTATATAATTAAAAATTATTAAAATATGTAAATAAGAATATATTTATGTCCTAGTCAAGTCATCAGTGGACGGCCATTCCGTTTTCTTGGGGGTAGAAATTTTTGTCTCTAGTCTTTGGTGTGTCAGGGTCATAGTGGACAAAGAGCAATGCTAGAATCTATCTAATAAAACTGAACTGTTTTTGAAAATGTGTTAAAATGTATCACAGATACTATTCATTTGAACGGTTGAGATGATTTCTAAACAATATGTAATGGTCGAGATCAAATTTTTTCCTGCCCAAACACTTTTGCTCTCTCTCTCTCTCTCTCCCACATCTGCCCAGCCACATCTCTTCAACTCCCTCTCCCACTTTCTCTTCAAAATCAAAAAAAAAAAACTGATGTATGCGATCATCCTTCAGTTCTTCATTCGAAGAAATAAAAGCGGCGGAGTGAACGACGGTGCTAACAGTCTCAAGGATCATTCAATACTCCTTTAAGCCACGACGACTAGCGAACGACGTCTATTTTAAGCCAATGTTCTTACATTTCCCCTTCTTCATCCTTCACGCCGATCACCTACGATCATCCGATACTCCTCCGATCGCAAAAATCTGTATAATCCTCTCTCTCTCTCAACCAATAGAGAAAGAGTATATGTCGCCGCTGCTCATCATCACCGTCACTGCTCTAAAACTTGGCTCCCTTCGAACTCGCACGCACAGGGTAAGAGAATTGAGAATTGTTTCACTATTTCTGTCTTTCCCCTTCTCTCTCTGTTTTTTTTTTTTTTTTTTTTTTTTTTTTTTTTTTTTTTTTTTTTTTGGTGGTTGTGTCTGTTTTTGCACTTCAAATTTGAGAATCCTACTTTAGTTCTTAAGTTCTTTGTTTTAATATTTTTCAATCCATCTAATATTTTTGGGCATATTTTTTAATCATTCTATACAGTTTGTCTATATTTTTTGGGCGAATTTTTTGGTGGTTTGTCTATATGTTTCCAATTCTATTTTAAACAATTTTGTTGTCAAATTAGATTTTTTATTTTTTATTTTTGAGTGTTGATTTAGATTTTCCCCCTATTAGTTTGTTGTTTATTTATTTAGAAACCCAATCAAGAGGGAGGATGTTCAAGAGATGGTGATGAGTCACCCAATGCGTCTTTCCCAATTCTATTGCGTAACGCGATTCGATTGAAATCGCTCTGAAAAACACAGGTTTGGTCTTGATTTGATTTGATCGATGTGGGTTTTGGTGTTATTGTCAATGATGTGTCTTTTGGTGACTAATTAGGTAAGTGTTTGTGTGGTTGGAAAATTGGGTAGGTGTTGGATTGAAGAGAAGATGTCATGGCAAGCTAAGCTTTTTCAGTCCGTATCAGAAGTGTTTGTGAGTGAAAGAGATGAGTTGTTTTGGAGCATTCAGTTCTTGCAAAGAGAAATCTGAGACTCAAACAGAAGGTAAGGGCATGAATATGATTTTATGTAATTGTATGCAGTACTTATTTGTTGGATGCAAGATTTTATTTTTATTATTATTATTTTTTTGGTGTATTAAAGTTTGTGATTTTTTGAGTTATGGGAGATGGGTTTGAACTTTATTGACCTATTCAACTCTTGGTTATGGCCTGAATAAGGATAGGGTTCAATTGATGTAACGGTTCAATTGGCGCATGGCATGAAAGTCCTGGATGGTCTTTTGTGTACCTGTTTAGTTTGGTTCATTCCATCGGAATATCCGTTCTCATGTTTGGTTAAGTAAAAAGAAAAGGAATTTACATAGGAAATGAAATCACCATTCACCAATTTAGGAGAATAGCCATTCCATTCTTGCCTAAAATCATTCCAGCGAACGCAACGCAACCTTAATAAATTCTTGCCTATAATTGTTACAGTGTGGAATGTTTGCTGGACATTTGTTCTTGAATACATAGCTTTGGCGGCACTTAACATTTTCATTTTTCTTTGGTGCCCACTCTCTTAAACTACATCATGGTCAGGGTGTGTGTAGTACACGATTCAGGTTCAAAGTTCTGTATATATGAACTTTTCGTTAGTGTAGGTTGGCTAAGGTTTATCAGTTATTAAATATCATGTGTAGTTTAATGCATTTCAAAATTTAAGCTTCAGGGGCAAGAACTTTGTTTTGAGAATAACCTCTGTGATCATGCAATTTATTTATTTTTACTGTCGATCACAATTACGAGTTAGGAATCTATTTAAGTATCTATAGCTTCGTGCGCATTGATAGGCCCTTTAGGCTATGCCAACGCATCTGAGCCTGCAAAATGGTCCCATGCCAATCTAAATAATCATGGATTAAACTGCTCAAGTTCAGGTGATCATAATGTTCGCCTAGCCTAGCCTTTATGTTTGCCTCTGTGAATATGAGAGGTGTTTGAGTTTAAAATGAATGCAATTTAATAATTTAATCAATTGAATTTAAAGTACATAATATTATTAAGATGAACTTAAGAAAATCTCCACCACTTATATAATTAAAAAGGACTAAATAATAGTTAAGCAAAACCTACCTCTATAAATCCAAATTATAATGTTGTAAGTTTTAACACCCAAAACGTAATACAAAAATTCTGTTATAAATTAAACTGAACGATCTGCAATAATTCTTTTTTTTATTTTATTTTTTTGGTCTTTATAGATTTGCCTTCCTTTTCTTGCAGTAGCAAAGTGT